GTAGCCACTGAGAAAGAAGCTCTCTCTCATGTCCTCACTAAGTGAGCAAGAGAAGGACCTCCTCAGAAGATCTTAAGAGCCATTTCTTAAACACACTTGCACATTTCTTCCATAAAGTTTTCAAATTAAGATAAGCGAAACGGCAATTAGGAGCTTTCAGTGCCGCATATCTTTGTGGTCTGTACTGCCAAGTCAGTTCTAACTTACAGCAATCCTAGCTGGACATCCACGGTATGTGAGATATTTGAGTAGGTTAACCAATGGCACCCCTCCTGTGGACTTCCATGGCCTAATGGGGATTTGAACCCACATCTCTTGAGCATTAGTCCAATATTCTACCCAAGATCTTACCCCCGCTCCGTCTTGGTGTTATAAGTGAAAGTTATTCACGTACAGGTGACTGCAATATGTCTCAGTCAAAATCTTTATGACATTCTCCCCATTTCTTCTTGTATGGCGCATGTAGTGTACCCAGGACAAGATACAACCCACATCCTTCTTACCACAAAAGTGAAGCTCTAGAATGATAGGAATGCTGAACTATAGAGTTGCAAGGGATTTCAACACCATCTGGTCAACCCCTTGCTGATGGAGGAAAGGCAAAGCTAGAACATATCTGCGGGTTATCAGAGCATCAACAAATGACATTCCATGGTTAACACTATTGCAGGAAAGAAGTCTTCCTAATGCCCTTTCTTGTCAATTGAATCTATTGGGTTGGGTTGGGCATTGCCCTGTGGTGGAGCAGAAAACAAGCTCCATAATAATTCTTCATATATCATGCCTGGAGTCTCCTAACAGAGACTACAAGACTTATCCAGATTTGAGGGACTGAAGCTGTTGGTGGCCATCCAAAAAAAAGGGGGGAGATGAAAACTCGGGGTGGGCTTGGGGAAATCAGCAAGAAATATCCTATGCATGTGTGATTACATTTAAGACCCACTGATTTCAATGGGATTTACTCCCAGGTAAAACTGCACATGATGGAAGTCCCAAAGTGTTAGGAAAACAGCTTCTTCATAGCACCTTCCATCCTATTTGCAAATGGTTCACGCATTGGAATGATGAACTGAGATGTTGACAGTACTGATTTGAAGCCAAAACAGGGCCAAGAAGGGAGACTCACCATGCCCTGGAAGATTCTTGGGTTTGGTTAAGCTTTTGAAAAGAACATTGAAAGACCCTTCCCTCCCTCCAAGAAAGGCCAAAATCTTGTTTATCATTACTGCATGTATACCTATTGTACACCCAATTGGGTTCCTTCCTATGGATATTTACTACTCCCTTGTGTACATGGAGGTTCCATGACTGGCTCAGGTAAGAAGAAGCCATAGATCAGTGGTGTCCAACCTTGGCCCTCTAGATGTTCTTAGACTTCAACTCCCAGAAATCCTGGCCAGCAGAGGTGGTCATGAAGGCTTCTGGGAGCTGTAGTCTAAGAACATCTGGAGGGCCAAGGTTGGACACCACTGCCATAGATTGATAGGCACATGAGGAGCACTAAGAACATGGAGCAGTTATGTTCCATGTTAGCTAATAGAATTCTGGCCAAAGTCTTGGGACATTTTTAGGATTCATTGATTTATGGCGGCAGGAGTTTTGTAATAGCTCAGAGGCTTAGTTCTCTGATTGTGGAGCCAGGAATTGAGAATTCAGTTCCCCACTGTGCCTTCCTGACAGGGGCTGGAGTCAATGATCCATAGGGTCCCTTCCAACTCTGCTGTTCTAAGGTTATGATTATGATTATCATCATTATTATATATTCAAACATATGAAGAGGGCTGCTTTTTTTGGGGAGAGAGGAATTAAACCAAAGGCTCCTTTTAAAATAGCCTATGCTGACCCCGCTCTTCTTCTGAAGAGGGTGTTGGTTCCAGAGGAGTGAGAAATCTAGCATCTCTCAATTAGCAGAAAGGTGAAAAGCTCTAAAGACCGTCTCGGTTAACACTTTTGTCCCTGTCCCTAGTAAATGAGGACCAAATTGGATTGTATGGGAAGAACTTTAGAACGGGAAATGAATTCCATGGGAACTGGCACCTTGTTATAGAATCCAGCCCTCCAAGCTCCCATTTCAACAGACTCTTGACTGAGTGCCTTTTTTGTGTCTTTCTGCACCGTTGAGTGCAGCTCTCCACCCGTTTTGATGTGCTATGAGAATGCCCAGCACCTGCGCGGTTGGGAAATTACTTGGACAGATGAGAAACATCTTCTTTTATCTGTGATCATTTGCTGAAACAAAATGTTAATGACAACCACCAGGCTGACAGACTGGCTCATTCTTCCGTGGAATATTAATGGACATCAAAAGCGTTTTGTCTTTCTTTTATCCTTTGTTCGCTCTGAAATATTGCAATACCTTGGAAGGTAATTGCCCAACCAAACAGAGAGGCTATTTTGCAGGGTCACGAAGCCAGGCCATCATCTTTATTTTATTTTATTTTATTGGTCCAACTATCTGAATATTTTGCTCTCTCAAGGGAGCAAACATGCCTATTTGTTATCACACATGCTTTTGTCCACCTCTGCATCTTGTATTTAGTGTAAACAGTGATTTAAGTGGTAAGCCTTCTGTCTGATACACTTATTTTTTTCTCCCACTGTGTGACTATCTCAGAGAGACATGTCTTAGCAACCACACTTATCAATTAAACCTGTTTCTTGTTGTTGTTGTTTAGTCATTAACTCGTGTCCGACTCTTCGTGACCCCATGGACCAGAGCACGCCAGGCCCTCCTGTCTTCCACTGCCTCCCAGAGTTGGGTCAAATTCATGTTGGTCGCTTTGATGACACTGTCCAACCACCTCATCCTCTGTCCTCCCCTTCTCCTCTTGCCTTCACTCTTTCCCAACATCAGGGTCTTTTCTAGGGAGTCTTCTCTCCTCGTGAGATGGCCAAAGTATTGGAGCCTCTGCTTCAGGATCTGTCCTTCCAGTGAGCACTCAGGGTTGAT